TGTTCCTTGTCGAACCCGTGAGTCCTCGGTCTATTCCAGATTATAATCTTTGCAATCGGTGAAAATGTAATCTTTATTCCCGTTTGTGACACTGTGGAGGCCAAAAATACGGGAACCAATCAGAAATGGATTCACATTGTCTTGACTCTCAGTATAAAGGGGCTCTAGTGCAATGTAAGTGACTCTTGCAGACCCCTTTGGCCAAAACGCAGGTTCTTGTTCCCCCGTCTGAGCGGTCCATGGCGCGATATTTGAATTTCAACAACTTTGCGGTCTTGGCCGAAAACAAATATGACAGTCGCCAACGACAAAAATGAACAAAGATCCACTTCACTTGAAGAAAATGGAGTTCATTCTTAAAGCATTTGCTTGCACTAAATTTACTCGTTTTTATCAACTAGAGACGGTCATAATTGTTTACGGCCGCGACATCAATGTTCTTGAAATTCAAATTTCGCGCCACGGCCCCAGTGGCGGGAAAATAAGCTGCGTTTCGGCAATAGGGGTCAGAAAGAGCATACCTACGTTTCAAGTGTCTTTGCTCCAGTGAGCCCAATATGTAGGCCTTATCGGACCCTTGTTATGGAACCTCATAAAGCCTTTCAAGACCTCCTTTGGACTTTTTCTGTCGCAGGCAAATAGTAAAATCAGACATTTTGTCAAATGCATGGGCAGATAGTCAAATTTTGACGGTCTACAAAATTTTGTGAATTTACGGCGAAAAGTCCACGATTTATCTCTACCTTTGGAAAAATATCTCATCAAACCTACAAACTCTTTTTGTCTCTTCCTCTTTAATTGCTTCTCATATTTTTTAATGTTGAGATTCCAAAAATTCTGTACTTTACGACATGCTGAATATTTCAAGATCAGTGTCTCTTCAGGAGCTAAAAATTGTTTAAAATACTATTGTGTGGGAAATTTCTACTGAGAATTTTCTCTTTAAGGAGCAATGAACTATTTTGTCTGAAATTAGGAAAAGAATTAGAATTTCAATCTAAGTTAGAATATTTGACTTTTTGCCTAAGCGTTTGACAAAATGCCTCATTTTATTATTTGCTTGCGACATCTCTATCAAACGGAACTATGTGCATAATGACGTGAGCCTGTTACGCAAATATCCGTATGGGTTTCAGGGCTCATGTCTTAATGCACATAGTTCAGTTTGGCAGAAATACGTCCATTTAGACATCGTCGTTGCCCGGGTAAAGGAACGGAACTCCATTCCATGGTTGAAAAATGTACTCAAACTATTCAATATTTTTTTCAAGAATGTAACTGTGCAATTCTTGATCGAAATTTGTTCGATTTTTGCAGGAGATGAGGGGAAAAATTAGATGAATTTTTAGTTAGAAATGCTCAAGATTCTCTTGGTAAAAATGTAATTAGCGAGGAGGAAATTCGGCAGCCCTGGAACGCGGTTGCATCCTTTTGTGGGTAACGAGAGCATGTTCCTTCTTTTATAGGTACACCGAATCCAAGTACTCTCCACTGGAAATTTGGAGCCAGACTTCATGCTTTTTTGATTTGTTGGAACTGAGAGAGGAGGCTTTCGACTACAGGGAGACAAAATATCGGTACTTCTGAGACACCGACTTTTTTTGGTTCCGGGTAACCATAGCTTTTGGTCATAGAAATCGAACCTCGGCTCAAACTGATTTTTTTGAGATCCATTTTTTAATGAGGAATTAGATCATCTGAATCAAAATTCGGCCCCTATCATCGAAAGAATTCCCTATCCCGCGGACTACCCGGGACTTTAATTTTTGAGGACTTCAGTTATGTCCCAGTAGCGGAAGTTTTCTTTCTCCGTTGAGCATGGCATTTTAAGGCATTTTTAGGAGAAGCTAGAGGGATGCGTATGTTCAACAGGAGTTTGAAAAAGAAAAGGGAGAATAGTGTGTTCGTTTCTCTTTTCAATAATATATTTTTTAGCATTTTATTCACTGTATCCTCTATACAGAAATATGTGCAATTATCAGAACAACGACATCTTAGCGACTTATTCACATAAATTACATATTGACTGCGTAAGTCGCCAATCACATATCTCGTTTGCGGTGTCTGAAAATCTGCGCCTCTATGTTATTCTTTGAAAGGAGAACAAATTGGACTGCATTTTGCAATTTGGAACTATAAATTCTGGCTCTTCTGGAAAAACACTTATGTGCATAGGGAAACTACTGGCATATACGTTGTTTTCAAACCAAGGTAGAATTTATAGTTCCAAATTGCAAAATGTAGTCCAATTGACATCATTCCTTGATGTTTAGGCAGAATTTTTTTCGCACAAAGAAGAAAAATCACAAATGTGTGTCGCACGAGGCGGTTTTAAAGGGCTATCGGGTTTTTTTTTTTTTCAGTCCTCTAATTTCTCTAGAATTTTTGAGCAGGTCCAGTGCCTCTTTGCTCCGATGGTTGTGCAGTCTCAAAAAAGAGAAACAAAAAGAGTGGAGACTTGCAACGTCGCCATGGAAAAATGCTCATTTTTTGAATTCACCCATCGACATTTTCTGTCCGAGGGATAAAAGTCTCGAGAACTAGAGCGCCGCGGCGCCACAAGCATTTCGCTTTTCCAGAAACTCATCGGAGGTCCTTACGCCCTGATGAAGCTCTCATCCGGCACCACCGCAACGCCAATGGACCACAATCCGTCTGGAAACCTGAAGATCTCGTCTGACTTTTGGGACAAAGACTCACATTCAATCCAGGTTTCCAACGGTGGCGAGGCGTGAATGGTCAATTCTTGACATTTCCCCATCTAAACCTACGGAAAAGGATCGATAAACAGGGTGTTTTATTTGTTTATCGATAGGTTACCTTTTCCATAGGTTTAAACTGAATATCGATTCATATATTTCAAAGCATGCCACGCCACTGGTCTCTGATATGTGAAGCGGAAATTTAAACGAGGACCTCAGAGATGGGCCTTATAGTGGCACGGCGATGAGCTAAATACGAGCGTTTAAAGTATGTCATGCATACAGGATCTCTATAGTATGAACCTTCAGACGTTGCCAAATTTTCTTTGATAAAATGCGAACTACTTGGTAACTTTATGGATATTTGCCTCCTAACTGTTCGGATAATTTTTTTCGCAATTTCACCTAAAGATCCTAAGAAAGTCGAGGAAAAATATTCATTAATTTTTCCTGAAAAATGAACGTTTTATGGAAGGAAATTTGGCAACTCTTGAATGTTCGCACGGCGTTCTTCCTTAGCACGGTAGAATACCACCCGACCCGCCGAGAAAATCGACCTGGTGTTCTTTGACCTTGGTAGCTAATAAATGGACGCCAAGATTTTCTGAGTTCATCATCCTCGAATGATATTGCGTTTAATCTTTGTGTCAGAGGTAACCGTGTTCCTCGACATGATTCTGAAAATGAGATGGAGGGATCACAAAGAAGCCCGATGAGAATTATTTGGACGTATTTTTGCCAAACGGAACTTTGTACATTAAGACATGAGCCCTTAGACCCATAAGAATATGTGCATAACAGGGCTGACGTCATAATGCACATAGTTCTGTTTGATAGGAATACGTCCCTTTTGGCCTTTTGCCGGTATATTTTTACTGATTTATCATCCATTCCGCCTTTCTTTAGAAGACTGCCGTATTAGCCTCTAGCTGTTGCCGAATTTCTTTAGTCAAATCACACATTTTTGGAAACATTTGAAAATACTTTCTTTCTGATTTTTCAAGGATTTTATTCCTACTTTGTTCTGGGATGTTCGAGAATCTCAAGAAGAAAATTTTCATGGCTTTTTCCAAAAAGAAACACTTTCTGAGAGGAAATTTGGCAACTTTCGAATATTCGGTGATTTTCCTCAGCACGGCAGCATATACTCTCATTAGAATGGCAATTCTTGAAAGTTGGCAACGCTGTTTTACCTCCATTAGAATGTATGTAAAAAAATCGATTATCGTTGAGGCAGATCTCCCCTGAAATCGATATTTGCAATGGATTTGAATGGAGGAAAAATAGCGTTGGCAATTCTTGAAAGTCGGCAACGCTGTTTTTGCTCCATTTAAATGTAAGTAAAACAATCGATTCTCGTTGAGGCAGATCTCACCTGAAATCGATACTTTTAATGGATTTGAATGGAGGAAAAACAGCGTTGCTAACTCGCGTGAGTGTTTTTGTCTCAGTATTTCATTCGATTCTTACCAATGTATAGTTATCATATTATGTTTAGGAACGTCATAAGTATTTTTTTTAAAATTTTCTCATACCCTTTATGAAACTGTAAATAAAATTCTTTGCAAAAAGAATAAGAGATCTCCTCAACTCTCCCTAAAACTTGATTCTATAAATGAAAATCGGTAGCATCTAAAAAAGCTCCTACGGCGCAGAGTGGATCGCGTCAATAGGAGAGGTCGGAAAAATTTGGAAACTTTAAACGCTTGTAACTCCGTTTCTATAAAACTGTGAGGTTCTAAAAGTGGGTCCATTGGTGTCCTCAAGAAATTGTCCTCTCGAGGACACGTCAATTTTTAAAATGTGACGATTTAAACATCAAAATTTGCAGTTTTAGTAAAACATGTTATGTCCGACCTCCCTAATCGACTCGATCCACTTTGCGGCGTTCCATTGGACGGCACAGAAGCGTTGTGAAACAATACGAACCTTACTATGAAACGCTAATTTTCAATAAAAATCTATTAGTAAATAATATGCTCATATAATGAAAGGAAGGTAATTTTAAGAATAAGTTAACTGCCTTCAAGATTCCATGTAATCTTCTAATCTCTAATTGAAAATATATCCTTAAAGATTGTAAATTTGTATTAAAATGTACTAATAAAATTATCTATATTAATTTTTATCAAAATTGACAAGAATCCGTCAAAATCTTTTCAAGATTTCATCACTTACAAAGAATTTATATTTCAGAGAATTCATAATAGAATGCAAAAGCATTTTTGTAATATTTCATAGAAAAAAAAATATTCTGTAAAAATCCTTTAAAAGCATTCTCTGGTTTACTGGGCATTTATTTACATTCCTAGGCAAGACATTTATGAACATATTTTTAGTCAAAAATATAAAATTTACAACATGAAATAAAATAGAAAAATTAGAATGAAATTATTTGTTGAATGCCTAGTTTCATTGCTCTCCGCTCCAGACAATATTTTCTATCCATGGCAGGTACGAAGATACTCGAGTGTAGACCCCTGGTGAATTTTCTTGGCCGCAGAATTTCCCAAACGATGTAACACCGACGATGACATGTTGACATACGTTGTCTCGGGAAGGAAGCCCGAAGGGACCACCCGAATCACCCTGAAACAGGACATGAAATATAAATTAACTTTGTTACCGGTCAAGGGTGGCAAGTCATTTCTCAATGCAAAAGTGGATATAGTTCCTCTTGGGAAACTGTAAAAGCGGGAATCTACTTTAAGTCAATAGGAGCTGATTGCTAACTCGTGAGCCATGGGCATGTGACAAGAGCCTTGTGGACAGGGCTCATGAGTTAAAGAGTCCCGCCACAGATCTCTCCGTCGTGCTCGGGCTCGTTCGCTGCCCTGCCGTGCTAAGGAAAAACGCCGTATGAGCCTTCAGGCGTTGCCAAATTTCTCCTGGCAAATCATTAATTTTCAGGAAAATTTTTGAATATTTGTCTACAAATTTCTCAGATAATTTTTTTTGTAATTTGATCTTAAACTTCTGAAAATTTCAAGGAAAAATATGCATAATTTTCCTCAAAAATAAAGATTTTATCGAAGGAAATTTGGCAACTCTCGAATGTTCGTACGGCGTTCTTCCTTAGCACGGCAGTGCCACTGACGTCACCGGCACTTTATATTTCCCATTCATTCCTATGACCCGGGGACGAACGAGCGCACCCCATCATTCCACATGCACACAGTTCCATTCAGCATAAATTCGTCCATTTTGAAATGACGATTTCCTCTTTTTTCCGAGTAATTCTAGATAATCATGACCTCGGCGATGAGAAAAATTCATTACCTGGCATGTGTCTGCACCACCATCGAGTTTCCCCGCGCAGAGCATGGTCTCTATGATGCCCCTTTCGAGTGCCCTATTGGGCTCCCGCCTCTCCGCGTCGTACAGTTGGTCGCATTGCGTGTTGTTGATCACATCCAGCTTTACTTTCTGTAAAGCGTCGCTCCTCTTTCCACCTGAAATAAAATAATCATTCTTCATAGACGAAATCAGGGTTATTGCGTTAGTCGTAGCTCGGAATCCGGCGCCTCAATAAGTTTGGCGTCCTGGCATATGCGAGACATGTGAAAGCGCCTCGGAAAAGGCGCAGTATGTTGACATAGTATGCGTTTTAGACACTTCAGCTCGACGGAAAGATGGAATGACATGCGCTCCAGTTGCAATTCATGTCGGTTTTCCTCTCACTACTGACATTAACTGATAAGTTAATAAGGGTGAGTTTGAAACAACTCTTGTACGTACATCGGAAAAATTAGAAAAAAAGAAGAAAAAACCAAGCTGAAAGAATCAACATAATGAGTAATACTTGAAGAGCTCCAATTAGTGAAATCGTACGCTTTCCCAAGAGAAACCGGGTTAATCGTAGGGGAACAGCATAAAGGTATCCTAGTCCTACAATCAGTATATCGTCCTTTAAACAATCTCATGAGCATTATGTCTAAGGAGACTTGAAGGAATTGAAATCGAGACTAAGTCAAGTCTTGTCGTCGGCAGGAATAAAACTTTAATGTTTTTTCCGGATATCACTCATAGCATAGCGAGTAATACGGTTTCTTCATTTGCTAGATGAGAAGCGTCGACTCATAAAAAACGCCTTCGACGAGCAAATATACTCCCTAGCATGGCTTCAGTGGCCGAATAGTTGCATCCTTTCAATTCCCAATAAACAGAGTAGCAGGGTAGATTAGCGAGTAATGCGGTTGCTTCATTTGCTAGATGAAGAGCGTCGACTCATAAAAAACGCCTTCGACGAGAAAAGATACTTCCTAGCATGGTTTTAGAGGCCGAATTGTTGCGCACATTCAAAACCTCTGAACACAGTGGCAGCGCAACAAAAACCCAATTAATTTAATTTGTTCGTGCCCCGACGGTTCTAAAAAATCTATCCAATTTTCTGACGAAAGAATCAAATTCAGTAAACATTTCCATCAGTTTTCCTAGTCGCTCTTTTGAAAGCGAACTCTTTTTTCACGAATATCACTTGATTCCGGCCGACACTAACAATATACCATTGAGGTGATTCGTCGAGCTCAAGTCACGAGGTCGAACTGGCTTACGATAAATCGCATCGAATGGATAAAAGATCTCGGCAGATTTTGAATTTTTAGCCAAAAAAAAAAAAAAAAAAAAAATGATGGCAGCCTCTATAATACGCATGAGTCTGAAGAATCAGTTTAAATAAAAAAAATTGGCAAAATTCAGAGAAGGAAAAGCAGAACAGTGTTAGGAAAAAAATTTCGCATTCGATACAGTTATCGATTTCTTTAGCGAATGTGAGGTTTTGGCCTAACACTATTCTACTTTTATTTCTCTGAAATTTGCAATTTTTTTTATTTGAAAGAATTCTTTAACCCATTGACTTACAGTGACGGCTCCCAGCCGTCATCGCAGCGCTGGGCCAGCTCTGAAATGACGGCTCAGAGCCGTCCGCTGATTGTTTGCGTTATTTCGGCAATTCTCCGGTAGATTGCGTTCTCATCAATGTTTAAATGAGTAGTGTGGCCACCCTATGACTTATTGAGTACGGTAATTTCTTGTTTTGATACGGTATTTTCATATTACTGTGCGTTTGCACATGAAATAACCTCAAAATTTTCTGATTTTCGCTGATCTTGCGATTTTTGCGATTTTGACAGCTATAAACCTCATAAAAAAATCATTGTGTTCAAAGTTTTCACCATTTTTCTCAAACGTTGTATTGTGAATGCTTATTTTGTCAATTTTCACCCTTTGAGAAATAATTTCTGGATTATTTTGAAGGGTTCAAAGTTGCTGATTTTCGCCAAATTAAATCGTAATTCCTGGCCCTGCAGGGTCAAATTAAATCATAAGTCAATGGGTTAAGCTCATGCACTGGCGCTGGGGATATCGTCCTTTTCTTGGCTAAAATTCAAAATCTGTTGAGATTTTTTACCTAATCGATGCGATTTATCGTAAGCCAGTTCGACTTGAGCTCGACGAGTCACCTTCATGTTGAATTGTGACGGATAATCGGCCGGAATCAAGTGATACAACGTGAAAAAGAGTTTGCTTTCTTAAGAGCGACTCGGAAAATTGCCGGAAATGTTGACTGAATGGACCACTAGACAAGGTGCGAATTGCAGCATTCTGATACATGTTTCTAGACCAAAATTTCACGTAAAACACAATGCGCACAACGAAAATTACCGAAAGCAACTCCTTACAAAGATAATTTATGATTCTTGATGCGCGAATTTAATCCACTTGCTCATGATAACTCAATGCTCTACGTGATTCATATCGCGCGTTGAACGTTGTCATGACAGTCTCTGCGATATAAAAATCTGGCAATCTCGATCTTGACGCTTTGGCTCAGCTATAGCAAATTGCTTATAATTTGCTATAGCTGCTATATAACGGTGGGAAATGAACATTGCTCGTTTGAGAAGCTTGCTGAAACCGTTGTAGTGCGCAATTTGACTCACGTAGAGCTTTGAGTTTCTTGTGAGCGGGCAGTTCAAAAACCTCGTAACCAATGTGAAATAAAAACGTTGATATCTTCGTTAGGAGTTGGTTTCGTTAAGCGAATCGTGTTCTACGTGAAATTTTGGTTAAGAAACGTGTATCAGATTGCTTAAATTCGTACCTTGTCTAGCGGTCCATTTGTATCCTATTCCTTAGAAAATAGGATAGATTTTTTAGAATTATTATGGTATGTAAGAATGATTGGGTTTTTATTGCGCTGCTACTCTGTTCAGGGGTTTTGAAAGGGCTCGACAGCTCGGCCTCTGAAACCATGCTGGGAAGTTTCTTTTGGGAAGAACAACGACCAAGGGATGTTGCGTGTACTTGAAAAGTACGGAATAAGGAAAGGCGTATTAAATCACGAAAATTTGCTGAATGTGCAACTATAAGATCTTATAGATGTAGACACTTGTTCCAATGTATTGATTGATTACTGTTGCTCCCTGCTCGTAATCACACTAACTACCTATAGGTTCATTTCCTGTTTCCTGTTCACCTCTGTTTTATCTTGTTATGCTCCTAAATAGTTTCTTCATGCAGTATGTAAACAGCTCTTATCACTTGTCAACTCGCTCTCTCCTTTCTTACCTGTACAGCTACAAACTTTTGCTACTTACTGTTTCCCTAGTAGCACATCTGAAAATTTATACATATAATATACATATAATATAGAGCATTCTATAATATATGTTTAATATATATCTTTTATAAGTATAAAATATATATAATATATTTTGAGCTGAGGGTTGAAAAGGCCATTCTATATTATATGCATATTATATGTATACTATATGTACAATATATTTATAATATATGTATAATATAAAATTTTAGAATACATATATTATAGTTATAAAAAACGTATAAAAATATATATATTATATTTATAATCTATGTATAATATAATGTCAAAAATTCCTTGGGTTCTGGGGAGGGAGGGAGGGTAGGTAGTCGGTAGGGATTTTTCATTGTTGGAGGGCAGGGGGG